ACATACGTGCACAGCTGGTTTTTTTTTGTCTTTTAGGAATGCTAGGACAATGAATCGTTATTAAATAAGCATGCAACAGTCTTCTGTACTATTTTTTTAATATATATTTGTCTTGGATGTTTTCTTTCGTTCATTTCTGTTTTTTTATTCATGTATTTCTTCTGGTTTCATTTCTTTTTTTAGATGAATGAGTTTTGAAGACTATCACATGTACACTTGTTATTCATTGAGAAGGACATTATAAATTTAACAGTTAATGATGACTTGAACGTCATTTTGATTGGTATGTACACACATATATAAAAAAAAAATATATGTATATATATATATATATAATAAGTGTTGTCAATAAAGATTTCTATTTGTCAACACTTCTACTAATATTATTTTATCATTATAGAAGAAATTCAAAAAGAATACTTCTATGAAAATCAATATCATCAGTTTTAATAAGATCTTTCTTTTCTTACTAATTATATTAATTATATGCACATCTATGCTATACATTTCGTCGAAATTTTCTAAGCCGATTTTATGGCTTATATATATATATATATAATAAACTAGGGTGTCTTTTTTTTTCTTTCTCTCCTATTCGTCACAGTATGTATGTATCAGATAAAGTAATACAACATGATAGCAAAGCGAACGAACAGAGTACGAGTCGTTGATGCCATTATTTAGGCAATAGTTGCGGCGACGGGCGCTCTCGTCTCAATACAAAAATGCGGGATAAGGAAGGAGTTATATAAAAATTGTGCACACACGCACACATAAGTAGAAGAGGAAGAAAGAAAAAAAAACCGAGTGCGACCACTATGGAGAGATAGACAAACAGATTCTACTACTATTCCAACTGCCCTTCGTTCTCATTTACCAGAGACAAACATGTTTTTTTTTGTTTCGTTCTTTTTCTTTTTCTATTTCTTCTCTGGTACCAATGCATTGTTAACATTGTTCTTTAATTTTTTTTTTCTTTCTCTTATGGTCTAGCCTATGTACAAAAACGTGCAAGTCAATCATTATAATAACGCTTCTAGTACAACTACTTCTTCCTTTCCATCTCATACAAACCAAAAGGCCACTAGTTTGCCTATACAAATAACTAGTGTCTCCTCTTCTTCTTCTTCTCTTCCATACAATAGCAACATTAGTGACAGCGGCATAACGCTGCCTGTCTCATATAAATCTTCAAATAAAATCATGTCATCATCATCATCATCAAAATTAAAATCAGATGTTGATCAACTTGATGATCTTGTTAAAGATTTACTTAATGAAGTAAATCGTCCAATCAGTAATAATAATATTCATCGATATTCTTATCAACGTCATTTAAATGATGATTTATCAAATTCAAAATTATCATCATCACCATCAAATATTCCACAACATTCAAAAGCAACGCGTGAAGAACGTATACGTATTAAACGTGGTACTGGTACTACTGATATTCCTACAACTAAATCTCAACCATCATCCTCATCAGCAATTGATGAACATCTTATTGATTCATTATTAGAAAGTGTTCAAAATACATTAAAAAAACGTGCACAAAAAAATCAATCAAATGTAACAACCGAGATACCAATTCATAATCGACGAACCTATAGTTCAAGTGCTGCTCATACCGATTCGATTCATCGTGTAAGTTTTCCTTGGTTTTTTTTTATTATCTAAATTTTTTCTTGACTTATCAGAACATTTTATTATTATTATTACATAGACAAAAAGAAAAATGAAAATTAAATTATATTCATTTAGTTATTCAAAGTAAACTAACATATAAAAAAAAAATATTCATAATTTTTATTAGAAAAAGAAAAAGTTCTTATGTCATAGATTCCTAATCATGATATAAAATTTATCAATTCAAAAAGAAACAAAAACTATAATCACTTTATCAAATAGTACTTATAACATTTTATTTTATGACGTTAAAATATATTATCCAATTGAGTCTTAAATGATATCAATTGATTTATTACATTAGTTTGATATAAATAATTTACACAAATAAAAAAAAATTTTTTTTTTCTTTTTTAATCATAATAAATTATATATATTTAGATGGATCCAAATCGAGGTCGATTTCCAATAAAACTCTATCGAGCAGATAGTTCAACAAGTACATTATCATCAAGACGACCTTATAGTCGACAAGATACTCGAGGTAATAAAAAGAAATTTTCTTTTGTAGCGAAAAAAAAAACAAAACAAAACTAATATTATAATTTTATATGAAGATGGTTATGCATCAGTATCAACGACTGCCATTCCGACATATTTTCGAGCAACATCAGAACCACCACCTGAAGGACCTATTGAATTACGTCGTATGGATTTAATTCGTTCACCTTCGCGTACATATGTTGATTCATATATACCAAATGAATATTGTTATCATCGTTCAACATTACCAACAAGGAGTATTCGTATGTGTGGTCCTGATTACTCAGGTTATGATACTGATACAGGTTTGATGACATCTCATGTTTATCCTCCACGGTATTATCGTGTTCCAGCACCAGCACCACCACCACCGCCGCCTACATATCCTTATTATCGTTATCACGAAAATTATCGTTCAATGCATCATCCAGATGGTTACGATACTGACAGTGGTTTAGTTAGTAGTGGTCGATTACATATGACACGCCCATTCCCACCACGTATGGCTGTTATACCTGAAGCTGTTATTGTTAATAATCGAATGGCATCATCAACTAATATACGTGGTGGTTCTGGTCTTAATCAAATAAATCGTTCAGAAAATATAACTGGTTATGAAACAGATTCAGGTATGAATACACGACAATCTTATCGTGGATATCGACAAATACCTGTTGATATACAACATGGTAATAATGAATGGCTAAGAAATCAATCAAGGACAAGATCTAGTTCACAACAACAACAACAACAAAAATTTATTGATAATAATCAATATTATCGTCAAACACAAGAACAAACGCGTGGTACATCAGTACCTGTTTTTAGTCATCATTCTGAACAACAACAACAGCAACAAAAAATAGTAAGAATAATATATTTGTTTTTTTTTCTATATTCTTTCTATTCTCTCTTTAAATTCGTATATCAGCATGTAAACATATATATATATATATAGCATGTTTGAAATAAACTAAACACATACCATTAATTTATATATATCATGTAGACAACAAGTACACCATCACCATCATTATCTCCAGTAAAAACAACTAAAAAAGGTATATCAATATTACCAACTCTATTTCCGGGTTCAGTTGGTTTATCAAATCCATTGAGTGATAATAAACCTCAACAAGAACAACAAGAACAAGAACAAGAACAAGAACAAGAGCAAGAACAACAACAAACATCTGTAGTTGAAGTAAAACGTAAAATTTCGAACGGTCATATTACAAAACGAGCACCTAGACCACATGGAACTATTATTGAGAGTACTATATTACCATCATCTATTGATCCTGGTGTAGCAGATACAAATATTATTTCGACTACAGCTGAGACTGTAAGAAATGCATCTTTGGAATGATATAATCTATTCCTTCGCTCGCCATCCCTTTTTTTTTCTATGATGTGTTCCAAAAATAAGAATTATTGTTTTTCGTTGTTTTTTCATTGAATTTTCTTTGTTTTAATAGATATCAAGTGCAAATGTGGATAATCAAACAACGAAAATTCCATCAACAATGCCTACATTTCCAGTGATAAATCAATCTTGTATGTATACATATCTTAAATAAAATTTTATACTAGAAAGATATAGTTTTATTTTCTTATCTATTTTTAGATAGTACAAATACACAAATAGGTCCAGGCAATAGGTAAAGAATATTGTTATGAATGACATTTTCTTTTTTTTTTTTCTTCAGTTCATTACGAAATCAAGACGAAAGTTCACGAAGATCAAGTGTTTCTTCTATAGGAGGTATGTTTAACATGGAATTAATTTAAATATCAGAAAGATTTTTAATAATAAAGTCAAACTTAATGATTTCACACTTTAAAATTGTTCTTCTCTTTTAACATATTACATTGTCCAATTTCTTGTAAAAATTCTTAACACTTTCTGCAAATTTTTTTTTTATAGTTGTCTGATAACTTTGAGTAGAAATCGGAGTTTGAGACATTATTTACCTTTTTCTGGCAAAAAGTGAAATAAAAATAAACAGCCAAGGTTTTATCTAGATTTAATCTTCCGGAGAATGAACACATGTTTTTTGGAGCGCGCACACATGGTATACGGTACAATAACTATAGACGTCGGAAGAGTCAACCAGATCTTTGGAGAAGCGCCTCATTGAATAAAATACTATCAACAATGCATCATATTCTGAAACAGAAAAAAAAATCTAGGCACCCTAAGCAATTTCTGGTATAAGTGGGAAAAAGTTTCAGCTCGATCAGATGTATTAGCATTGAGAAACGAGCGCGACTTTCCACCATTTTAAAAATAATGAAATAACGTGTTGCAATTTTTCCAGTGAAAATGTTTCATCTTTTCGGTTTTTATTTTTTCTATATAATAATAATTCTTGAAATATGTTCGGTACGTAGAGGATACTTCAAAGTGTATATAGGGCAGAAATAAAATGAGAATCTTTTTTTTTTGTTCTCGTTATAGATTCTGATGTAAATCGTAATGGTGCTTATCAAGCACATAATGTAAGTCAATTTTGGTATAAAGAAAAAATGTCACGTGAAGATGGTATGTTGAAATAATATTCATTGAATATATTATATATTCTTCTTCGTTTTCTTTTGTCTTTATTCATAGCCATTAATTTACTTAAAGCAAAACCACCTGGTACATTTCTTATTCGTGATAGTCAAGGTTTTCCAGGTTCTTATGGTCTAGCTGTTAAAGTTGAAACATTACCACCGGGTATTCATTCAAAACCAGGTTTGTTATTAAATTTCAATGAAACATTAAAAAAAAAACAAAATAAAAAAATTATATTAAGGTGCCGATCCTCTTTCTGAACTTGTTCGACATTATCTTATTGAACGTACACCAGCTGGACATGTTCGATTGAAAGGTTGTTCTAATGAACCAGATTTCGGTATGTTTAAAAATAAAAATTTTCGAATCTAAATCGAATTTGTATTTTATTTTTAGTTAATCTATCAGCATTAGTCTATCAACATACAATAACGGCACTTGCCTTGCCAATAAAACTTATTCTACCAACAGTTGATATTGCTGAAGATTTTCATTCTATGACGAATCAACAAGTGGAAGGCAAAAAAATGTCTGTTAAAGATTTATTAGAAAAAGGAGCTGGTAAAATGCAAAAAAAGTTTTTGGACATGATATCAATAAAGTTTTCTTTTTGTTTTCATTTTATTTTTAGCTTGTAGTGTTGTTTATTTAAATAATGTTGATGTTGAATCATTATCCGGTCAAATGGCTGTAGCTAAAGCATTAAATACCACATTTGAAAATGCTGAACGTTTACAAGCTACTGTTGTTAATTTTAAAGTATCGAATACTGGTATTACATTAACAGATGTTAAGAAAAAGTATGTAGTTTTATTTTTAATTTGATATTTTAAATTAAATAGCCTTCTTTTTTTTATAGATTATTTTCACGACGTCATTTTCCAAAAGAATATGTTACTTATTGTGGTCTTGATTATGAAACAGATCGTCTTTGGACATATCAATATAGTGATCTTGAAATGTTACCATGTGCAAAGTAAATTAATTATTTTGATTTTCTTTTAATCATATTAATATATTTTGTTTTAGATGTTTTGGTTTTGTATCAAAAAAAATCAATGGTACAAAAACTTCTCAATCTGAAAATGAATGTCATATATTTGTTGAAATTGATCCATCACAACCAGCAACAGCTATTGTCAATTTTGTATCGAAAATTATGATTGGCAGTATACCTGTCTAAATGATAGAAAGAAAGAGAAAGAGAGAGAGAGAGAGAGAGAGAGAGATAGAAAACAAATGAAGTATTTTTCAAATAAAACATTATTCTTTCTTTCATTTTATTTGTATCAAATTTTTTCCTATTAGAATTTTCTTATTATACAATTTTTTTTGTAGTCGAATGTCAATGCTTATCTTTTTTTTTCTTCTTTCATTTCGTCCTCTCGACGCCCCCTTCCTTCCCCCGCTCTCTCCTATCGGTTTCTTTCATTAATCTTAAGTGATAATATTCTTCTTTATTATCGTTGTCGAAAAAATGCATAAGTATAACAAAATATAATTTAATCTATCTATATCTTATATAAAATACAAAACAGTGATGATAATAATGATCCTTGTTCTTTTGTTTTTGTTTGTTGGTGCTTGCTTTAATCTCTAATATATTTGTTTTCGAGTATTAAAATGTATCATATTCTAGAAAGATAATAATAAATAATGGAATTACCAACTATTAATTTGGGTCATACTAACGTGAAAATGACAAGAATCGGTCTAGGTTCTATGCCATTATCGATTAATGGTCGACCAACACGAGAAGAGGCGATTAATGTTATTCATCGTACACTTGACCTTGGAATAACATTAATTGATACAGCTGATGCTTACTGTTTAGATGAAAATGATAAGAATTATGGTGAAGTATTGATTTATCAGGCATTACAAACATATCAAGGTTCAGCTAATATAAACAATATTATTATAGCTACCAAAGGTTTTTAAAATAATTTTTTTTTATTGTTATCCATCTTCATAGTTTTTGTATACTTTAGGTGGTATTATTCGTCCAGGTGGTGCATGGGAAACAGATTTAAATCCATCTCGTCTTCGTCAAGCAATAAGAAAAAGTTATGAAAGTCTTGGAGGACAAAAACCAATTCCATTATGGCAAATACATAATTCACCACAAGATAATAAATATACTTTAAAAGAAATTTTTCAACCAATATGTGAAGCTATTGAATTAAAATTAATTCAATATGTTGGTGTATCAAATTTTACAGTTGAACAAATAAAAGAAGTACAAACATATGTTAAAATACAATCTGTACAAAATGTTTTTAATATATTTTATCATGACTCAGAAAATAATGGAGTTTTAAAATATTGTGAAGATAATAATTTAACATTTATAGCTTATTCACCAATGGGTGGTCGAAGAAAACATAAAAAATTAAAACAAGATAAATTACTTTTAAATTTAGGTGAAAAATATCATTGTTCACCTTATTGTATTATTCTTGCATGGATTTTATCAAAATCAAAATGTATTGTACCTATACCTGGTGCTAGTAAAATAACATCTATTGAAGATTCAGTAAAAGCTTTGTATATTCATCTTGATCAAAATGATATTGAATTAATTAATAATCATAAATTTACTTAAAGTTATTTATAGATATATAGTTTTAGATAAAAGGAAAAAAAACGAACGTCTATGATACTATTTTAATATTCGATTATAGAAAAAGACAAACATTTGGTATAGTAACCAAAAAATAATAACTCATTGCAATAAGTAGAATATCCCAAAGGATATCTTGAATTAATTAATTTGCTAGAATTCATTGTGTTGTTTTGTTTTGATTCTTGTTGTTATATTCTCGAAGGACAAAGAAAAAACACTTTCATATTATCTATTTATGTTATTCTTGTTGTTTATGGAATATCAATTATTTTTCCTTGCTGATTCTTTTTTTTTTAATTTAATTAAAAAAATTAAGTTTATTTATTTTTCTTTTAGATTAATGGCAAATATAATAGCGACAGAAAATAATGCCGTTAATCGGCCACGTTTATATCGTTCTGATGATCAATTAAATCTACTTGAATATATTGATACAACATTAAATGAATCATTTTCATTAAATTTAACATTAATGAGAACAATATCAAATGGATATGATCAATTTGGTAATACAATTCTTGATCAATATTTACTTTATTTATTATGTCAAAAAATTAATCCAAATAGAACAAATAAGTTAATTAATAATTTATATCATCTATTACATCGATTAATTATTTTAAATGGAAAAATTTCGAAAAGTTTTTTTGAATATTCACCATCATCAAATAATCTATCAATTTATCAAACTATGTTTAATAGTTATACAAATTTTATTTGGAATGAATTTGATATAAATGTTCTACTTGAACTTGGTTAGTATGAAATTCTAAATATAATAATACTTTAGAGACCACTACAGATCGTATCTTAATAATATCTCGTTCTAATATTTGAACTAATGTCCATTTCAAAAAAAAAATGGCGGGTGGGTATTTTTTTTGAATAACTTTTGAAGGGAATGACATAGAGAGTTGCGGTTTTCATCATTGGAAAGAGGCGGTAAAGATGCATCGAACCATATACGAAAAGATTTTTCTGAATAATTTCCTAAGAGTTTTATGTAAAGTTCTTAGAAAGCAAACATGTTTCGTGTGATCACGATATTGATTTATTTATTTGCAGAGGTGCATTAGAACAGCCAATCGAAGAACTACAAAACTGCATAAAGATTCTATTCCTAGCTGCACAATCAATAAGATATTCTAGTCGTTAAAGTACAAGTTATCACGCCATTTTTTCAAGAAAATAATCGAAAAAATATACGTTTTCTTGTATTTTGATGAAAAATTTCTTTTTTTAACATATCAGAAAAAAGCAATTCTTTGAGAAAGTCTGGCTAAAACTCTTAAGAGAAGTAGTCAGAAAAATCTTTTCGTATATGGTTCGATACGTCTTCATCGCTTCTTTCCAATGATGAAAACCGCAACTCCATATGTCATTCCTTTCAAAACTTATTCAAAAAATACCCACTAGCCTTTTCAAATGAGTACTACTTCCTTATTGCATTTGTGGAAGACTAAGTAAAAGAATAGTGAAGAAATCTGTTCGAAAACAGATAGAGTAAAGCTATCTTCTGTGATTGACAAGTGCAGCTACGTTATATTGCACACATTAGTCCTCCAGGAATTGTGCTAACAGCTTTTATTGTCGAATTTACAGGTTGAATTTTTCTTTTCGTATACACTGCTAGGCAATAATAGTGACTAGTACCCAGCATGTGCCAAGTTTTTTGGTAACGGAAATTGATATTAGTTTGTTAGGAGCTCTTTATGTAAACTATATGTATTAATGATGAAGGTCAGATATGTTAGTTCTATGAGTAGAAGCAACGAAAATGTGCTGGAGTGAATGGGATGAAAACAAAATTTATCTAATCACGCGAGTAATCGACAACTCGAAAGATGTTGTCAAAGTAAGATCTAATATAGTTTATTTCCAACAAAGATATTTCTGTTAACTACTCGCAACAAAACGAGAACAATCACACGTCTAATGTGTTTAATTTTATTTCGGCATTGTTATTCGTCAAAATGAGGTCATTTGTATTGTGAAGCATGGAATCAGTTAACAGAAATACAGGATGTGTGGTTATTTTAACGATTGTGATCAAAGTCTAGTCACGGTCACGTCGAGCCCGTTTACTGGAATGAAACCATTTTTTATGATCTTGGGCTGATATTTTTGATGTATGTAGGCTACAATGAATCCTAGTTGCCAGTATCAACCTGCCATTCATCGGTTGATATCCACTTAAATTAGGTATTGAACGTTATCTTCACCTTGCGATGGCTATTTCTTAGCCAATTAGACATTTCTCTTTTTTTTTGCGCGACTCCTCATTCGAATGCCTACTGTCGTAGCTGTCTCTAATAAGAATTTGATATGAACTTCTACCGAGCAGCAAACAATAGTCTGCAATCAGATGTACCTAAATCAAAGTAACTTCGATCGATTAACTTAAAATTTTTAACTGAGAGTTGCCATAGGCACTGGAGTCTATACTAAAAATCTTAGAGTTGTAACACTAAATGAAGTCGACATATAATCACAAGATGGCTTCGCCATAGCATAGCTTGTCGATATGGGCGGCCTGTCAACAAAGAAAACTATGCACATAAGTTTTTCTTTTGTATTCAAATAATAATATCTAGCTGCTCCAAGAGAAGTGAAATTAGCACAAAAATTTACTCTGTTCATATAGAAAATTTTCGCTAAACTCCAGTTCACGTCAACCAATTGAAGGCGTGGTGATATCAGAACTTTTCTAAAGATCGTTTTTTTGGATAAATTTTCTTATACGGAAAAGCTATACGTATGTACTACTGAACTATGTATAAGTACAGAAATATACGTTTTTCTAATTGAGCTTTCTTGCATAGTAAACACGATTGTTAATAGAGATACAACGGTGGCGGTGTACCATCCAGGAATGCACTTTCAGTCATCATTATTAAGATCAATGAAGTGGATGGACGCATGAGATATCTACAGTCACCTATCAAATGACTTATTTTCATCCTGTCAGGATTGTATTGATATATTTTCGATTCTATTTAATTACTCACAGTCAGTATGAGAAAATATCCTTCATGTTCTAAATATTGAAACTATTTTTTATTGTTTATTTCAGGTCGTTTTTTATTAAAATATTGTTTACGTGATATATTTAATACAAATATAGGAAATAATCGAACGCATAATAATAATTTAATTCGACAAAAAATTACTGGTTATTTTCTTGAAATTATTGGAATATATTATCTTTCATCAAATCATAATGATTTTTTTAAAAATTCTCGATCTGTTGATATGATATTTCCTTCTCCATCACTTTATTCAACATTATCTCAAATTAATCAATCAGATAAAAATGATGAAAAAGAAATATTTCATAAATTTCTTAATGCACTTTATGATAATGGTGAAATTTATTTTGATATACATCAAATAAAAATTCTTTTAAAAAATGATGCTTATCAATTTTTAAATAAAAAATTAGAAAATAAAAAAATTGATTTTATAAAATTTCTTGAAACAAATATTTTTTATCGACAACGAAATTCTTGTCGAACATTAAAATCTATATGTCGTTTATCTATTAAAATGCATATTAAACAATATCCAAATGATATTAAACAATTAAAATCATTTCCATTAATAAATGATCAACTTCAAATGTTTTTAATTTATGAAAATAGATTCGCTTTTGAATCATAGATGTGATCTGAATGGATTTCTTTTTGTTTTTTTAAATTTTTTGTCTTCTAATAGTTCTACATAATAATAATTGTGAACTATATTTATGTGTGAAATGATATATATATGTGCATCTTTTAAACTATTTTTTATTCGACAAAGATAATATTTATGAATAATCATGCAATATATTTATGTTTAATAAAATATTTTTAAATTTAACATAATAACATTCTCAAGAGGCGACTGATGTAGGCAGAACTGAATTTTAAATATAAACAAGTGTGGTTTAAAGAGAATTGGAGATGTTCAAATTCTGATCCAAAGTCATGTTACAACAAAAAGAAGGTTCGGTATGCACCTAACTGTCCATCGCAATGTCGATCCCGACTTCTTTCATTAATTACTCTCCATAAGAACCCATATTCGTACGAATAGTTAGTGCATAGTGTGGTGCTTAGCAGAATTCTATAGCTATAGTATGATCTAAATTCATACTGCTTAATACTACAGTTTAATGAACAATGCATACTGTTGAGCAGGAATGTTTCAAGATCGCTAGGATTGAGAAGTTGATGATTCAAGGGACCTGTTGAAAGATTTTTATGGAATTCCACTGAAAGAAACGAAAATTTTTCAAGATTGGAGTGGAGCCATTTCTCGACTCTGTCCCCTGCTGTCGAGTAATACACAGTGCACTAACTATTCATGAAAATACGGTTTCTTTATGAAGTTCAATGAGGTAACCTTTCTAGGTAAACGATCTCAGCGTCTACATCCTTGAATTTTCGGCTGGAAAACTCGGGCAAATGGTGAAAGTTTAGAGGTAGGAACTTCCTGATCGAATCCGACGGCCAGATTTTTATAGTTTCGACCGTAATTTGGTAGAGTCGGCTGTCGGGTTCCTGCTTTCAAGTTCCTACTCAGGTCAAATAGGTACGATCGTAAACGGCCGTTTTATATGATTTTTTAGCCGTTTGGTAAGCGCAGTATTACGACTGTAAATAGTCAGGTATTAGATTTTCAGACTATTTGGCGACCGTTGTTGTCTGTGTACAGCACGATAAAATACAGTCATAATATTGTGCTTACCAAGCATCAATTTACAACTAAAACTATATGAAACGATAGTACACAGTACTAGTTTTGACTGTCTCAGCGACTCTTATCATCGTTCTGTGTACCATTGCTCTGAGTTTTTCAGTCGGAAACGACTCACATTTCTTGATCTGAGTTGGACTCTAGCCAAAATTCCGACTGGTTTCTTATCAAAATATCGAATATTCAAAAAAAACGAATTTGTTTGAAGCTTTTGCGACTCTGCTATCTTGAGATAGAAGCATCTGTTTCTGCTGAAATTATAGGATATTATAAGAACCATGAAATGTATTTTTGGATAAAATTTTACAATAGCACATATCCTTTTAGGATTTTTATCTGCACAATAGGCCCTAACAATCAGCAAAATATGAATTTGAATAGATATTGAAAATTGAAAGAATTCTCTTGTAAGTATAACTCAAATCAATCCTCATTTTATATTAATTACGATCAATTTTAAGTACATTCTTATTCGTTTATTAATCTATATATGAAAAAAATTCATTTATTTTTAAAATCTCAAATCTTATTTAATCATCAATTTTATTTTATTTTTTTATTGTTGACGTGCAAATTCAATATTAAGATCAATTTTAACAAATTGTCGATTATAAGCTTCTTTAGGTCCTTGTTCATCTGTACCACGTGCATTTGCAACATACATTATATTATCTGTTAAATCATAAACACCAACATGTAAATCACCTGTTTTAACAATTGATGTAATATTTTTAATTGATAATTCTGGTGTTATTTGTCCATATTGATCAATTATTGCACGATATAATTTATATTGACGTGATGGACATAACCAATCCATACCAGAATAAACAGCATTTGGTATACGTGGATGCCAATCAGCTAATGGTTGTAAATTTTGATCATCAAAAAAATTTACTTTTGAATGTGAATATTGTATCATACGTGCTGTACCTAATTTTCCATCAGCTACACCAAGAATTAAATGACATGTACGTCTAACATCAGAAATAAATGAAAGTGCATCATCAAGTGTTTCACTATATTGTAATATATAACGTTCGACAAAAATAAATGGTAAACCACTCATACTTTCATCACCAAATGTATTATCAGGAAATGAAACACCTATTTCAGATATACCAAGACGTAATGATGACATACCAGTTAATGTTCCAATATAACCTTAAAATTTTATTATAAATTAATACAGAAAAAACAGAGAAAGAGAAATATTAGTGTATTCTTACCTGCCCAAGCAACATTAGCAAATGCATGACCAAGTTTTGATGTACGAGGATGATAAATAGTAACAACAGGATAATCTTGTAAACCAGCATCAACATCCCAATCTAATGCACGTAATTGCAAAGTTTTTCCTCCAAGTGTTACATTACCCCAAAGACCATAGAGTGAACACCGACCTATGAAACAAAAAATAACTATCTCTAGTCGGAATTTTGGTTAGAAATTACTCAAAAATATCTGAGATAATGTCTATTGAAGAGCAAAAATTGATTTTTAGTAAGATAGATCTTTTGAAAATTTAAGTAGAAAGTTCTCATGAGACGAAAAATCTGCTTTGAAATTTTTAAAGCCACAGAACTGAATAAATTCGAGTTAGTGCTACGACATGAGTTCACTATCTCAATTGAGACAAGTAGAATTATTTGATTGGATTCATAATTTAAGGCCTCACCTCAAAATTCGATCTTGGGCAAGGTACATTCAAATCTCGCAAAAATTTTAGAATATGTTGGAACTTTAGTAACGAGACTATGCGAAAAGTTTTAGTTCTATATAGTGATGTTTTCGGCAGTTATTCCACATATATGGATCGAAAATAGCTCATTTGATGACCCTAAATTCTCTGTTTCTTTTTTTTAGTTTTAATTTTTATGCAAAGACAAAGGATGACAAATTCGCTACCACAAAAAATGATTACGTATTTATAGAAATGCTTTTTTTTTATATAATAACAAAAAAAGCTTAATTCAAAAAAAAACGGGCAATGCAACTTCGCATGTTCTTTCAAACAGAAAAAAAAGCGCTAAAGATTTACTACTTTTTCTCAAAAAAAAAAACGATACTTTCTAGGCAGAAGGTGATGGAAATCATCAAAGGTAAAAATTTCATACGAATTTGTTGTATCCTCGTCGAGAACCATAAATGGCGAAAAAAAGACGGAAGTACCCTTTTGAGATCTCATCGAAAAACACCAAATGATTGCAACATTCAAGAGGAGAAGACTTTTTTGTTTGACATTTTCTAAGATCTTACCTCGTGTAATTTCTCCAAGCATATGTAATCGTGTAACTATTTTATAATCAATTTGTGATGCATCAGCTAAACCACGCATTTCATTATAGATTTCTTCATCCGTATATTTTTTAACAAGTTCATTTTGAAAATCTAATGCAACGTCAAGACCTTGATTAACAATTATATTTTCAAACCATTTAGGTAATTTAAGATCTTTTAATGAATCAATTATTTCTTGTTGAAAATGTGTCCAAGCACGTGGTAAAACTTTATGAATTTGATCACGTAATAATGTACCATATGCATAACCAAAATCATAACCTGTATTACCATAAACATGTATTAACCATATTTGATCATCACCGGAACCAATTTGATAAAGTGTACCATTTTCAACTTTATTTATTAATCGTGGTTGACTTTGATCAATTGGATTTAAATTTGGATAACCATGCGATGTATCATTCGCACAAAATGCTCCCAAATTTTTTATTGAACTTGGCTTATAACTAGAACTTGTTTGAATAACAAGAAATAATCCAATGAATAAATAATATAAACGACTCTGAGAGAACATTAATTTGACTATTTTCATACGATAAGAATAGTAGGTTATATTGATTATTGGTTTTTATTTAGTAAGATACTGAGGGGGTAGGACGTAAAAATAAAACAGATGGTCTTTTGTAAAATAGAAAAAGTAGAATATGAGAAAAAATACAAGTGTACTATGACAAAACATTTTGAATAACTACTTCATATGTAATATTAACCATTATAATTGATTATCATTTCAGAGTTCTAGAATTAAATGTATTCGTAAAATCAGCAACATCAATCGGTCTAGTTTGGCATTCTGACAGCTCTGATAGAAACAGTACATCAAATCTATGATCACTTTTGTTTTTTTGGTTTGATATGCATTACACATTAGCGGTAAAAAACTACTTCAAAAATGATTGCAAAAATTATCAGAAAGCAATAGTTGAGTGTTAATTCAAAGCGCAAAATTTAGTATATTTCATATTTTTGAGATATAGTTTCTAATGGTGATACTACGGACGAATTCGAAAAAAGTTTGAATCAATGGAAGAATTTTCTATTACAAAAAGTATTTTTTTTGGTTTCTATTAAAAGATTTTTGTGAAAAGGTTTCTAGAAGGTCAAAACCTCCAATTACCAGTTTTCTGAAGTCAATTATAAACATTTTGAAAATTAGCTTATCTGATAGCCGCAAATATGAATTGAATTCGAGCATTTCACGATCTTTCTTCATTTAATTGCATTCTGTTTATAGAAAGACCATAAAGGGTACAACAGAATAGATTCGACATCTATCGTTAATTCAACGAAGTTTGATGAAGGAAAGTCATAGAGAACATAGGAACATACTATTTTGCTCAATAATGTTTGCGTTATCAGAAGAAGTTAGTTAAAAACATTTCAGAGAATTGATTGTTAGAGATCATGATTTTCCAGAGAAACTTTTCCTCAAAAATTTTAATGAAAACCGAAAAAATTCTTCTCCTAATAGAAAATTCTTTCATCTAAATTCCTCGAGTCCTCTAACATGCTCGAGCGTAAAAAATCTTCAGAAAGTTCTTCTAATCCGACTTTTAGATTAAACTTTTGAAAAGATTTTTTCTTACATTTCATATTTCTGTTTTTCGCAAAAAATA